TATGTTTGTCAACAAAAATACAAACAAACTGAAGAAAAGGGAAGAACAATGATGTCAAATGAATATGCACCCTCATTCATCCTGAATGTTTTGTGAAATCTACATCTTTCAGTCTCAAAACCAAGTGGTATTTCTTTTATGTATTACATTACGACGTTTTGTAAAAAATCTGTACGTGATGGAGAAAAATGGATATCATTTTCGGATTCAGCGTACAGGAATTACTGTAGAACACGTAAAAATATCAAGACAATAAAACCATCACACACCTGGAGGGCCGAGTAATTAGTGGCAATTTGCTAATAAATTAATTGTTATATACCTTAATAAGTTACATTCAACTAATCAGTTATTCTTATGAGACTAATCATCCTACTTTTACCTCATTTGAGTTTTTTCTTTAAAAAGTTTTTAACTAACTCTCATTTAATATGACAGACATCTTCAGGTACAACAATTTAGGATTAAGTTAGTTTTTAATCCTAAACTATTGCACAAGATAATGTATCATACACACAATGTAGTAAAAACCTGTAACAAGCTGAAGATACAATTAAAACTTTCCTGTGAGTTTTCCCTACAAATTTTCACAAGACTACTCTTAAATAAACTAATTCTTGGTAAAAAATAATTGTCTTTACATTTAATGTAATAAAACTAGTAAAGATTTTTGTCACAGTGTGATAGGTAATATATAATTCATTGAAAACAAGTTCACTCTGATCCTAGACAAATAAAAACAGTACAACATTTGTCATTTGGCAAAAACTTGTGATGATACTTGATTACTTCTTTGCAGAAATTAAAATAATTCATAAGCTGAAAAATTGAGGTTTTATAAGAAACTAGCAGAAACACTGCTCTATAGACAGCTGTTCAGTCAGGATCTTATCGAGCTGAACAGTGTGTTTCTCTAATAATTCTTGGAGACGGCTTGAATGGGTAATGAAGAAAACTTTAATATAACTTTAAAATAACAGCAAATGTACAAGGTTTTGTCACCATCAGGTAGCTGTTGATGACAAAACCTTGTCAAAACATTGAACATTTGCTGTTATGTTAAACTTATATTAAAGTTTTTCTTCATTACCCATTCAAGCCATCTCCAAGCATTATTAGTCTCAAAGTGGGTTCCTCTTCATCGAGTGTGTTTCTCTATCACGAAATTGCTACTGACTTCTTCTAACTGCATCTTGGCTAGAAATCAGATATGCTTCTGTATTTCTGGTTTGTTCCTGGCTTCTTCTCACTGGATCTTGTCTTATAACTTGGTGAGCAAGCCTATCTCTTTCTTTCTGTAACTTACATCCTGGTATTTCATTTTCTTTCTTAAAGTTTCAGACTTTCTCCATTATAAGTCACTTTTCTGTTTGGCAATTTTTGGCATTGTGATTTTCAATGTTTTTTATCACTTTATTCTCATACTGGAGTAAAAAAACACTTGTTTAACTTACTAAGGTCGACTTACTATAAAATTCCTGCAAATTTGTATGCAAAAAACTCCTTACAGAGGGCTTGCAATTTCTTCTCTCACAGAATAATTCAATTCATAATGTATGCTCGAGCAGAAAATGTCACTGTTCTTTTGAAATATCACAGTGATTCTCCACTAGGAAGCCTCACTTTAAATTTCTGCATTAAACTCACTTTACCATAATTTTAGAAGTTTTACTAAAAAAATTAATTTCACTAATAATAATAAAATGTATGAGATTAATGTACAATAGTAGAAAACAAAGAAGTACCATTTCTCCATTGAGGAAGTGACTTAGGATAAAAAATATTATAAAATAATGTTGTTTTTTTTAAATTCTAGCATGGGTCTATTTCATAACATTTTTCATTTTGGTGTGATATAAAGCTGTTATTGACTTATTTCTTAAAAAAATGTGGACACATGCACTAAATAAACTTTTTTTTTATAAGAGACCCAATTGGAATGAAACTTTGTTTGGAACTTCCCCTTATGATGTGTAAAAATTGTGCAAAGTTTCATCCAAATCAGACTTAAATTGTGGGAGGAGTTTTTAAGACACATACAGATTAGTCTCTTATATATATATAATCATTAAAATCATGTTAATACCAAAACATTTTTTAATTTCCAATGTTTTGGAACTTTTTCAAGTTTAATAAGCAACATGGAAATTATGAAGAACTTTATAAGTATAAAGCCATCAGAAACATTTACTTGTTGAAAAAGAATTTAGAAATAACACATTAAAATGATTAGTGCATTTACATTTTACTGTAGAGACTAGTAGAGAAAACTGTAGAAACATGTTGCATGTTGAGAAATCAGTATATCAAACAACTTAATATTAGTAATGTGTAGTGATATCTGACACAAACACAGTTATTCAGCAATCAATAATTTTTTTGAATGAGTAAAGAATATTAACTTACCATAACTTTTTTTTGCTAACGTATTCTTACTCTAAGTAACACTCATTGCATTTGTAGCTTGTAATAATAGAGCAATAAGATAAAGCTACACAATTATTTAGTCCAAACAAGGTATACACAAACAACAGGCATCACTGTGGCTACTTATGTAACCAATAGCCACTAGATTACACCTTTTAATTCGTGAGTTGTGTACATACTGGTGATGCAATGATACATACAGCAACATCAATGAAAATAGTACTTGCCAAAATATGGGTAGTGTTAGAATGTAATAGTCATTCTTATATTATGGTAAATAGTAGTCCAATTAATCAAAAATTTTATATGTGATACTAATAACCCAGCTCTAGTCGCTAGTATTATTGTAATATCTTATCCTATATTTCCTCTTAACTCCTGTTGACATTAGATCTATATAAAAGCTGTATAGCTAAGTACTATCATAGTAAAACAGTTTGAAGTAAAGATAATTACCTAAAACACAGTAGAAACAACAGTATACAGAGTAGGTCACAGAATGCTGTAATAAAGATATTAACTTTATTGTATGTAATTTTATTTCTTGAAGTTAATTATTGTCACTAAGAACTGTAATGCTTGTAAATGTGAAAAAAGGGACTAGTGAACAGCCATGAATTGGTACTAAAAGCATGAGAATGAATAATAATTATAGATTGTTTACTTATATCATGCTAGTACAGTGTGAAAGTTCATTTGATATAGCCTATCTTGTATTATTATACTGGTGTTTCTCTAGGAAAATTTATCTTGTTAAAACAATGGGAATTTAGGGAAGTAACCAGTAACCACAATTTATATTGGTTATCAACCACACCCATATTAACTTTCAGAAGGTTGCATACTTAAACATTTTTCATGTCGTTATTACTGAGATGAATTGTGCATATAAAATATAACCCTTAACGAGACTATCTCAGAAATTGTATATTGGCTCTAAGCTAGTTCATATGTCTAAATTCATACAATATTTTTACTTCCATTTTTTTGATGATATCATTTGAGGTTTATTACCAGCAAAAATATGGATGTTGGATTATTGTTTTAAGGTCTAGAAACTTAAGTTGATTTAAGAACACAATATTTATGAATCTACCGATATAACTTGATTATTTTCATTACATAGACTTTTCATTCCTATCCCTGTATTCTTACAAGAATCTTACATCCATCCAATCTTTTTTTTTCTCTTTAGTTTGTTACTCCTTTCAGTTAGTAATGTTAATTTTGTTGTTAATAGTCAAAGAATAAAACTTAAAAATAACAAAGTGTAAAATTAAAATATCTACAGTTTGATTGTTATGTGCAAAAAAAGGAAAAGAAAAGTGGAGATTAAAATTTCTATTTTAGGGATAAGCTATGAAACATTTCTTTATGAAATCTTATCTTACTAGATAGTTTTGTAACATAATTTGTTATATTCTTTACATGCTGAAACAAAAATGTGTTTGGAATTTACTGAAAACAATAGAATTACACTAATTTCCCACTATTGCATGATAGAAAAAAGGTTTACAAGTGACTATTGCTTTCCTTAAAAATTATAACTTGTTTTTGGATATTTTCTACATTATAATTACTCCAAATTAAAAGCAAATTGCGTTTCATTCACATGAAATTGCTGCTTAAGAAATGTTTCTCAGAAATAACTTTATCTTATAAGTTTTATCAACAACTGAAGTTATGTTATTTTCAAAGTCAATAATAAAGAGTCATGATGCCTTACAAAGGTTCATTTTTATTTTTTATTTTTTTCAAATTTATAATTCATGCTAAAACCTATGCTCTTTGCTTTCCTTTTATTATTTTTCTATATGCACAAGAATGTAGATATTTTCTCAAAACTTCAGCTACATGTAGACATAAACACTACACATGCACTGTATGGGAGACTACCCAAGTAAAGTCATGTTAAAACTACTCAGAACAAAGAAGAAAACTTAGCAAATATGGCAATGTTAAAATAATACATGTAGCTTGCAATTTGGTTTACTTAAAGTTGGGATATAGTAAAACAATTTTCTGGATAAGAGCAAGGTGAAAGTAGATAAACCTATAGGTTCACTTACAAAATTTTAGCTGAATATAGTTCAACTTCAAAAATAAAAAAAGAAGAACAAAAACTTCAACTTGATTTTTTTGGCAGAACCAAGACACAGAATAAAACTTTCCAAATGATAGTAACAATAAAAACCAACAAAGTAAATCTGTAATGTTAACACCAAAATCTTGATGTGATAAAACATTCACCTGTAAAAAAAAAGAAAATATAAGACAAGACTACCTTCTTGATCCTGTCTGATACTATTGATTAAATGTATAGTTAATAACTCTCTGACAATAAGAGTTGAAAAATCATGAGAATCAGTGTTACCACAGATGACGCTGGGGACAATTGCAGCACGGCAAGTAACCCATAAGGACTATAACCATAGTTAAACACTAAACCATCCCACATCAGGCTGCGATTTGTGAAAACTTTCAGATGTCCAGCTGGAATTGTGGCTCCTCCTGATGCTCTAAATGTAAAAAAAAAAAAAAAAAAAAAAAAACTTTACAAGGACAGTTTAAGGTCCAAAACTTGAAAATACATGTAGTTGTAATAAAGCAAACATAGCGAGTACATCAGAAATATCCATGTTATGATCTATCCACACAATCATCTATCATAATGAGAAACAAAATTATGTTAATAATACATGTTTAAATCAGTATATATACAATACTGTATACTAAACTTTGTGAAGAAATATGGATATTCTGACTTAACTGAAACCTCTGAGATGGTTTTAAAGTTTAATTACTTTCAAAGCAATACTTTGTTTTATATAAAAACTGATAATACTAAACATTCTAATTTTCTATTTACATAAAGTACATTGGTTAATACTGAAAGTTATACATTCACAGTTTCTATACTGTCTTGCATAAGTTTAGAACATTTGGTTTTAAACAATTGATTTAAAAAATAAGGTTTTTACACTTTGTTAGTGTATTCTTTTAATAAATCAAGTTATATAAAATTTGCATTATGTGTGGACAGTATCTAATTTGTTATTTTTTACAGTTTAAGCACTTTTAATTCAATTATTCATAAGAGGCACATACATATTAGCAAACCATTCATTATATTAATGTACAATATCCATTAATTCATCAAACATACATGAATATGTAATTACATTCCAGTCTACTAAAACAGACTCAAAAATTGTATTAACCAGTGATAAGGCTACACTTACAGACTATCAAAATATAACTTCAGAGTTACACAAGAGGCACCCACTTAACTTTAACCACACAAATTAATCCTTTACAAAGTCAAGAGAAAATACTTAAAATGTTGTATAAGTACATATAAAAATTATCATGAATAGCTATGTCATAAACAAAACTGAAAACAGCTTGACAAAATACAATAATAAATAATGTTGCAGTGTTCAAATGGAAAAATTTAATTTGACCTTTCTTCATTTAAGGTCTCCATATAAATACAAAAAACCCTCTTGGAAAACTGTTATCTCTAGCTTCTTATTAGTGATTTTGTTTATTCTATACTAAATGTCTCACTAAGGACCTTTATTATGCTATAAAACTATTCAGATGAATGCATTGGCTTGAAAAATATTTCTTTCCTTTCAAGATGCTGAAAACAGTCAAAGTAAGTATAAAACTGTGCAGTTTCATGACACGTGTTGACCATATGATAAAATACTTTTAAAACTTTTTATTCTATTTGTACTTTGATTATTAAAAAGTGACAGTGACTCAGCAGTAAGTCTGAAGGCTTATAACACTAAAAATCTAAAAACCAGGTTTCAATACCTGTAGTGAGCACAGCAAAGATAGCCCATTGTGTAGCTTTGTACTTAACAGCAAACAAATAAATTCAAAAGCCCTTGGAACTCCACTGCAACTGTTCTCTCTTGAATTGAGCAGAGCATTTGAAAACTGTTAAGTTTCAGTAATTGAAAGGAATAAAAAATGGTGTTATATAGTTGAAAATAAAAATAACTATTAAAATAAAATCAGTATTACTAATTAATAAACAATTGTTAAATATATAAAAAGGTTTTACTGATATTAAAAGAACATTTTTAAATATACAATAATAATTTAGTAAACTTTATAAACTTATATTTTAAATAGTTTTATTATTTTCTTGTGCACAACTGAAAGATTACTTTCATATCAAATGGTGCAGACAAGGAAAATATTCAGTACACTATTTATCTAAAACAGTAATTATTCTAGGGTGTATACCTTAACCTTACATTTATTTACTGATTCATCTTCAACACTGCTCAAAAGAAATAAGGGATAATCAGAGTTTTCTAAATTATAATTATGACAAGATGTGATTACTGATATTAAATAATGTTATTGGTACCCTTGAGTTCAATTTTATGCAAAACAAGTTGGTCATGTGGTATGAAAAACATCTGAGCACAGCATTATGTTTAAATAGACCCAGATAAATAGTGAAACATGCTAGGACACCAACAAAGACACTTCCATCATGTTGAGGGCAATAAGTTGGCCATAAACAAGTTTCATTGGATTAGCTTTTATGCCTGATGACCATACATGTAGCGAATAACACATGGTTTGATCAAACAACATTTGGGTGAATTTCTTGCTTACAGATGAACCATGCTTCACACTATAGCAAGATATGTGTATACATTTGAAGAATGCAAAGGGCCAGATCCAGCCTCAATTTCATGGAGGAAAACATGCATATTGTGTTGGTGGTGAAACTGACCTATGTTTGCTATGATATGGCACTATGAATGCTACACAGCATTGCCATATGTAGGTACAGTTTATCAGAACTTCTTTCGATAGATGATAAGATTCACACCACTGTGCTCAATTGTTTTGGAACTTCCAGGAAGAAGATACTGAACAAACAGACTAATCTGCTTGTTCATCAGACTTGAACCCAGTAGAAGAAGTATAAGATGCTCTAAAAAGATGCTTGGATACATCAGAATGATTCATCCCAAAACAATATTGGTGAACTAGAAGAAACTATGAAGAAGTGTTATATTAGCTCCACAACTTATTAAAGATGGGCAATTAACTTGATTAATCAATGGAATATCATCAACATACAAGAACTGATTACATCAATTTGTGTAACATAAAATTGTCGACTGATCACAATTATCAATAAATCAATTAATTTCTCAAAAATAATCAACTAATCAAAAGTTTACATTTTCCTTACCTGAAAATGTATTTTCAATAGATACTCACCTCTCCACACAAAATAAAATGATCTCTTGTACATTTGCCTATGAGATTTGCATGCCATTAGCCTTAATCTAACTCCCACCTAAAAATCATATGTTTAGCATAAACTGTACTAGTGCATTATAACATAATCATGTGACAATAGCCCTACATTAATAGGAGGGTGACACAACCTCCTCGCACAGTAAATCCCCTTAAGCACTTTGCTCAAAATAACTTCATTCTTAGTAGAAGCTAAAAGAAAGTGCCCTGAAAGTGGGGAGGATGGGTGGGAAGAGGTATCTGTTGGAAATACATTTTAAAGTAAGGAAAATGTTAACTTCCAAGACAATACCTTACCTATTCACACAGAATAGCTAGAACCTCACATTTAAATTGTGGAGGGGCAGATTCAAACATTAAACCTAACTGAGCAATCTTCTGAAAGTGCCCAAAGGGAAAGCCCATGAAATGTGATTCCATAGGGGCATACCCGTGGGAGACTGCATTTTATTTCAACCAGGGTATGTTCCTTGGTGCTGGTTTTTCCATGATAGAACATGGAATGGTACAGTAGGGATCAGGAAATTGAGTCAGTTTAATACCACAAGAATACTTCTAGTGATCTTGTGGAACACTCCATCTTGACAGTGGGCACTGGTACAGCACATGACAAGCTATGTGCATACCCAATGGAAATGAGCCCAAAATAGTAGGTCCAAAGTGTGGAAGCAAAGAGTCCTGCAACAGTTATCCCGTGATTGTTGATATAAGAAATGACCATGGGATTGTTGAAATGGATCAGGACCAACCGATTCACAAAAAAGAGGAAAGGAAATGGAAACATGCCCAAGAAACTGTAAGAAGTCTGAGTTGATGTGGAGTGAACACTCAAAGACATGTCATTGCTCAGAGATGTGCTCCAGCTCAACAGGGAAACATCTGTGAAAATATGGAGATCCAGTCAGGAAGGTGGTGACAGTGGCAAGAGGATGCTTACCATGGTATTGGCATGGTTGAGCCACCAAGACACATACTTTAGAAGAGAAGAGAGGAGGTGCACTGTTAAGGAAAATGTATCCTAAGAAAGGTTCCACTAGTCTTGCATTGTTCACTGGAGGAGGGGCATGTGTGTGCAGCCTAAGGAAATGAGCAGTTCTAGTGAAGCCAAACTCCCCAAAAGCAAAGGAACCTTTCATACAGGGCATAAAAGATAAATGTAAGTCTTGGTGACAAGACATTCAATGCTCTCAGGCAAGGAGGTGAAGGCTGAGACAGACTGAGGTGAGAGTTAAAAATATGACCAGATGTACCAAGTATTAAGTAGGTGTGAGAAAAGACATGTAATGCTTGACTAGCCAGCCCAGTCAAGCAGCCTCCTGCAAAAGAATGGAGGTATGAGAGAAGGAATCCTCCTAAGAAGGGGTGAAGAGAAGTCACTCACCCATTTAATAATAGAAGCTCAGCCCCAATCCGTGAATAAGGCAGGCAAATGCCCTCATGACTAGGTTGAAGATGTAAGGAGCACACACACAATGGCAAAAGGAAGAGCAAGGAACTGAAAGACTCAATTCTGATGGACAAAAAAGAAAAAATGTCTGGAGAATAAGGCATTCAGAATGTGTTAAAAAAGTTTCTGACATGTTAATCTTGATTATCCCCAAACCAAGTGAAAAGGACCAGTGGAGAGAAAAGAAACCCTCCAACTGGAACTGCAGGATGGCTAGAAACTAGTTCAGGTTGATAAGCAGATGCCAATTTCTGGTCTTTTTGAGGACCACAAAGAGACGAACATGAAATCCAAAAGAATGGGGTAAATACTCTCACAATGGCATTATTAGCCAAGAGATCCAATATTGCATCCTTGAGATGCTGAAAATAAATGGGGTCAGAGGGAGTTGTAAATGAAATAGGAAATGAACCAAGGGGAGGAAGAGAAGTGGAGATATGGGCTGTGAATGTGAGCCTGAAGAATTCATTTGTCAGCCAAAAAAATGAGAACCAATGGCTAGAGAAGTAAAACAGACAGGTACATACTGGGCTAGTCCTGACATAACATTCACCTACAAAACAAACAATGATCCTGACATCATGAAGTGGGAGGACTGAAAATGATGAATGAGAAGCAGGAAGGGAAGGGAGACATGGTTTGAGCAGGCCTAGGAACATCAACAGAATGCTAATTCCTTTTCCAACCAACCATGCTCACCCTTTTAAACATGGGGACATTATATTTCATTGTTTTTCATTTATGACAAAGCTGCTAAGCCTATCTGCCACT